TGTAATTTAATATTGCGGATTATTTATTAGTTTTGTTTCGGTTTTATATCTTGTATACCTTTCTTCTTGCATTGTGGATGAAATGCTATGGGTATTGTAGGTTTTGAATATGTTTTTCTATGTATGTTTCTATAAATATTGGGGAATATTGATTCTTAATGCACTTACAGATTCATAATATGCCTTTAAATTAAAAGATCATTTTTATAAACAACAATCAGATAAACCCCTGTTGTAATTGAGTTGTCATAATTTCAATGTATTATAATGTAACAAGAAACGGATTTAGTTTCAGTTTCAAAAGTGAAGTTTATTGTAGGTTTAATGTTTTGGAAAAAGAAAATAAATTGGAGAATATTTTTTTGTCAAATATAATAATAGAAATTTTAAAAACATCTGAAATACAGAAGTCGCAGGTCGGGAGAATATTTCCTAAAATACAAATTTCTTTCTGTTATTCTAAAATAGAAAAGCAAAAAAACTATGACTTCCGGAGACATTTTTATATATATATATATATATATATAATATAATATATTATATATATATGTTTTTAATGGATTTAAGAACCCTCGATGTCAGCCTTTTGTTCTCAACAACAGCAAACCAGATTTTGAAATGTCAACAATAACTGCCCAAATATTTTTTACGATAGGGTTATATAAAGATGTAACTCGATAACCAAAAAAATTTAATTTTTCAAACATGCGCTAAGCAACATATGCAGATCTCATGATAATTTCCAATATGCGTTTTCTTCACTTAAGAATTTACCAGCACCTCAAAACCCATGTCCATCGTTAAATAAATTTTCATTTTGTCTTCGTTATATCTTCTACATCCGTCTCTAAATATTGTTCTGGTTTCTTTACACATGGATATCAATTAAATTTTTTTTAAATAAAAACATAAATTTATTAAATTCTGCCTTGTTTTACCCACCGTAAAAGTCTCACATCTTTGACATAAGAAAATGCTACTCTGATCAAAGGAGAAAAATTTATTATAAAAGAGTTTCTATTCTCGCAATTTCCTCTACAGTCAAATTTGTTTCCTGATATTTACCTGCTTTCACCATTTCAAAGCAGAAAATTTAATATCATAGTGACGAATATATCTTTTTATATGATAACCTAAATAAAAAGACTCTAAATTGGCTCTTAATTTTAAATAATTTTTCAATATATTAGCTTATGCGCATGTGTGGAAACATAACAAAATTATCCGATGGAATATTGAAGGACTTAAACGCGATATAGGTAAATATTCCATTTGTCTATAAATTTCCCAATATATTCGATAAAAATATAAATATACTATAGGTATTTTTTTTGTTTACTATATCATTACGAGACTTTGTAAAAAATAAGTGAAATTCATATTCAGAACCCAAAACCCTGCGTATATTTTTTAAAATATTTATGATTCTGTTTTTAAGCGTTTTTGGTTTTCTTTTTCCTGACTATAACCTTATCTAATATCTTAATTGATTTACAGTTCTCTTGATATAGACTCCATATTTCATAATTTCCTAATTTAAACTAAATATATTTATTAAACAGTATTTTATTTTCGTCTACCGGCCTTTATGTCTAATTATTATTAAAGAAAATTTAAATAATTATATAAATAAATTCGTTAAAGTGCTAAAATATTCTGTAATATTAATAAAAATTCTATATTCTTTATATATATTTTTATTTACATTTAGCTCGAAATTTATAGATACCACAATATCTACACGCTATATCGGCCTGTTCTCTGTGATTAGTTACTTAGATCGTGATGGCCCCTAACAGTAATTCACTATCATATAGACGCAGTTTCGAATCCTACCATATATCGCAAATTTCTATTTATAATATTTCTCATTCGGTCCGGTAGACATAAATCTATATAAATAAATGATATATTATATGTGTCACACCTTTTCAATGTATCTAAGACGCCGTAATTGTTCTAACGTATCATACCATTTTAGAATCAGACTTCCAAAAGGAAAAATATCCTATGCCGGATCCAGAATTAGCGCTCCTAAAAAGCTTAGATTCCAAATTTTAATTACTACACTTTTTCGACAGGCTATTTTAATCGTAAATTTTTGTCTTATAACTTGAAATAAATTTGGAAAAAAACCACAAAAAATAAATTTAAAATAAATTTTCTACGACGGAGATCCATGGCATCCCAAAGGCCGAAATTAAAGGGCACCTGGGAGAATCGAATAAATTTTCAAGGTAATTGTTCTCTCGCGACAAGTAAGCTGGAAGAGAGTTCCACTAACTCGAAGTGTCTTTAAATTAATTAACACCAAAATTAAGGTTAACATTTAACATTTCAAAGTAAAAATGATGAAATATTAATACAATACTAGTATGCAGCGATCAATTTTGAGTTCTTCTAGCTTATTGAAGTCTGTCGCATACAGAACAATTACTCATGAAAAGTCTCCGCCAACGGACCAGAAATGTCAATCAAAAAGACGTTAAGGCTGCAGGAAAAAAAAAGTCCTTTCAAATGAAAACCCAGATCAAACGGTACCCATAACATTGCAGATTCAGTGTTGAGTATTTACAAAGAATCTCTAAATATATAGCTCCTGAACAAGACCAAAGATCAATGAAGAATCCTACATAAAAACAAGGACGAATGGAAGAATTTTAATCTAGTAAATAAATATATTGTTAAATAAATAACACAATGAAACATTTTTTTTTTTTTTTTTAACCACGAAAATAATGTTTAATGGATGATAAAAAACAAAATCATGTATCGTTACATCTTATTATAATATAAAAGTATAAAATCGAATGATTTTTGGACAAGACCTATCTTGGCTGACTTCGCAAGATTGACAGGAAAATTGCGGCACAACATCCGAATCAGATCATACCCTGATAAAACGTCATACCTAAGTACAGAGATGTAAATATAACAACAAATACCAAAGCATTTTCTTGATATTCGTCCCAGGTAAATAAGTCATCTCAATAAAAAGACAGTGGAAGTAAAAGTGAATGACAGGGAAATTCTGATCTAATGAAAGAAACTCTGCCAATGAGACCCAGAAAAGGCAACGAAAAGAACAGAATAAATTTAATTCGGTATGATGAATGGCTAAATGTCGAATGAGCATTGTAGAAATGCTGTAGAATGCAGAAATCTGATATACATCAAATATAAAACAACGTCATAAACGAAAAAAAGTCTATTTCAATATAGAAATAATTTTAATTTCTCCAAGCTTCTACAGCTTTAAATAAATATATATATATATATTTATATATAAGAGTATACAAAACATAAAAGATGGGACATCCATAACTCGTATCCCTTAAATTCTGGCAGTAGAGAAAATGTTGCCCTCACGATGTAATACGCACCCCTTGTTTGGTATCGACCATCATTTGTACCTGAAAATAAAAATTGATTTAACCATTGTTTAATGTTGACGGACACGCATTTAAATTTTATGATAATTTTTTTTTATTTGAATTTGTCAATTATTGTTAAAACACAAAACATTGTTTTCAATCGTTATGGGTCTACCGATTGAATAGACTTTTATTATAAACAATTGTCTTATGTTTGGAATTTTTAAAGCATTCTGAATGTAAAAATAAAGAAAAGACAATAAGAAACACTTAAAGATAAAAAAAAAGGGAAGTTTGTTGAAATCGGTTGAAAAATGTTAAAAAATCCATATATAAACAAACACACACACACACACACACATACACACACACACACACACACACACAAACAACCTGTGTTTTATAATTTGTTACATTGGAATTTCTCCCTTTCATTCTGGCGACGGAATTGTCTTTTATCGTGTTTTCAATTGAATTCGTTATAAACCATGTGTGTTTTTTTTTTATCAATTTTGGCGCTGTCAAAAAACCGCAACGTAATTTTAAATGAAAAGTGAAACTTTGTTTTTGTTTTAATTCGAAAAATTATAGATTACATTTAATATATAAAAACAAAATACACGCGTATTTCAAAAACTGCGTTTTAAATTGTAAGAAATCAGAGCAATATATCCGCCAGACTATACATTTAAGAAAAAACCAAAGCAGCAAGCCGGCCGGGTTTTAGTATAGTTTTAGGTGCCGAAACCTTTAAACGATTATAGTTTTTAATACTTTTTTGATAAATTAGCGTTGTGAACATTTCCCATTTGTTAAAATCAGGCAGTTTAGGTATTATTAACGAAAAAAAAATTCCAAATTCTTTTTAAAATACCGGAGTGGTGTCAAGAATTGTACATAGAAAATTCCATTTAAATCTTTTAAACGAGTAGTATTTTAAATCGAAAATAACAATAATATAACCGGTACAAATTAATACAGAATGATAAGGATATTAAACTATGAATAATAATCTAATTTAAAAAAAAAACAAATTTACATTGAAACCTTTTCCCCTTAAGATTGTCTCTGTAATATAATTCATAAACGCATATAAAAGCCTTTCTAATCAAACAAAGTCTTAATATTGCATTTTTCATTTCAAGATTCAGAGCAGATTTTCTGTAACTGAAGGTCCTGTTTTTGAAAAAAACAATTCACTATTTACATTATTCGGACTAATGTCCTCATCTTTGTCGCCATGTTTATCACCACGTTTCGGCCGTTGTACGCTCCGACCATCAAGTAGTTGGAATATCGAACTGAACCCTTCATTTCGCTCACTGGGGTAGACGGTTCCACATTCCAACCACCTGAAGAAGGCCGGAGCGTACAACGGCTGAAATGTTGTGATAAACATGGCGACAAAGATGAGGAAATAGTCCGAATAATGTAAATTCGGTACATAATACCTCATCTCAGAATTATAGACAGATACCGAAAACAAAATTAGTTAAATTATCCAAAGACTTGTCCTTATAACTAATATAAACATTAAGCTCTGGCAAAAATGAGTTCTTCAATATTTCATAAAATTATTTGACGGAGAGTAACAGACGAAAAAAATATTTTTATCAAGATTTCTATTTAAAAAGAAGAGTGAGAGTGAAGAAGAAAGAGAGAAAGAAGAAGAAAGAGAGAAAGAGAGAAAGAGAGAAAGAGAGAAAGAGAGAAAGAGAGAAAGAGAGAAAGAGAAAAGAGAGAAAGAGAGAAAGAAGAAAGAGAGAAAGAAGAAAGAGAGAAAGAAGAAAGAGAGAAGAAAGAGAAAGAAAAGAAGAAAGAGAGAAAGAAGAAAGAGAAAAGAAAAGAGAGAAAGAAGAAAGAGAAAAAAAGAGAAAGAGAGAAGAAAGAGAGAAAGAAAGAGAAAGGCTTTTCTAAAATAATATCATTCAGTTGTGAATAAGTCCTGAAAGTTTCATTAAAATCCTACAGATATTTGATCTTTGGAAGAATTTCAGAATCAATGTGCTTTTTTCACTGCAAAAAGATGTTCAAATTCCCTATATTCATTTATGATCACACGTTTATGCAAGCAAAAAATAAAATAAAACAAAAAATAAAATAAAAATAATAACCAAAATTTTTGAAAAAAAATAAAAAAATAAAAAAAATTTAATAATAGAAAAAGAATCCTTTGGTCTTTTCTCTTAAGGTTTTGACAATCAAACTGTTTTATTACGCTGGGGGCATTTTTTGTGTATGTTCATTTTTTAGTGAATCTTTGGAGATATATAATGAAGAACAACATTTTTTATTTAAAAATATTTGACATTGCGACATAGAAATTTTAAGTCTCCCGAAACAGAAATTTCCGTGTCGTAATGTAAAAATATATAAAACGCACACTTTTTGACAACACATTGACATCTACTGGAAAACGTTTTGTCTTCATGTGTTCCACCCACAAATCTATCAGAGGAAGGAAAAATCTAAAAGTGGTTATTACTGACCTGTCTGTTTTTCTTTTACTTTAAAATATAATTTGCAAATTTTTTTTATATATAAAAATAAAATGTTGACCCAACCGCGGATAAGTCAAACCACAAAGTCAAACCGCGGATGGTGAGGTCCAACTTATATAAACGTACACGGAACAAGTTATTCTGTCATCATTTGTCCAAGCCCTATCCCTGGTTGTATTATTTTTGGTTTGTTTAATCTACGCATGTGCAACACACTACGTAATCAAATGAGAAGTTACAATTATAATGAAAATTGTTGACTTTAAATGTCGGAGAATGTGTCACCCTAGAACGTTGTGAAAGAAAAGCAATAATAAGATGAAGAGAATCGGTCTATATTTCTGAGATTCTATGTACACTATTTACATTATTTGGACTATTGTCCTCATCTTTGTCGCCATATTTATTACAACGTTTCGGCCGTTGTATGCTCCGGCCTTCTTCAGGTAGTTGGAATGTCGAACTGAACCCTTTATTTCGCTCACTGGAGTAGACTGTTCTAGTTCCACGTGCCATCTTTAATGGATGTCAGTTGTCAGTTATTTTCTGTTAATTCCCCTCTCCAAGTTCTCCACTACCTTAACCGGGTATTGAACTCACACTCTTTGTGTCCTGTCACTGGATCTAACTAACGCCTTTATTCACTGTGCCATGTGTCCTTGAAGAGAGAGGAATTAACAGGAGATAACGGACATCTGAATTTTAAAATTACTTACGATTGTTCATATACTAAACAAGATTAATCATAAGATGGCCGACCATTCTAAACCTTTTAACAAAGTCTTTGTACGGAGATTATCCCAATTGTCCGCAAAAGAAATTTGCTAACGACAGCTAGATTGCGTTGCGAAGAAGCAGTATATAAGAAAAAGGCGAAACGTTTTCTCTTTTTTACCCAGCGGATGCCTTAGAATTAAGACGTTTCGAGTTTCCCCATTTGAAACGACAAAGTCCACAACAGACAAACGCCTAAGCATAATTGACTACACACAATTCTACCAAAAAAAGTCAAGGGACTCTTTATAAATATCTTTAATACGACTTCGAACACATGTAAGTACGAAAAAAAAAAAAGTTATCTGTATACACATCTTGCATTCACTCCTTTTTGTATTCTTTCTCTATAGTTTGCTAAGGCAATAAAATGTTATTAATTCTACAATATTGCTTTTAATTCCTGCCTTATCTCTTGTTTGGCAAAAATACAAATAACACTATTTTTATTTGACATTTTTTATTATTTATTTATTTACACGCGGATTATTGTCCTCGTCTTTGTTGTCCCTGTCTGAATTTTGGGGATAAGGAATTATTATTTATACCAGGGTCGGTGCAAGAGTCCCATGGACTCCACGCGTCTATGATATGGCACCACCAACTATACTACATCTCAATTTTCATAAGGTAGTATTCATAAAAAATACAAATTTTATTGTAATCTAATTATGTACAATAACGGATCGTTTATATAATAAATGCGAATATCAGAGTGTCACACTTTTTCAACTTTACTCCTAGAGGTAATAGTCCAACATATTATGCCATTTTGGAATCAGACCGACTCAGTGAGCAAATTAAAAATATTCCGGCCCAGATCCGAACCAGCAATCCAGAAATTTTGGATTTCCAAGTTTTCATGAAAATTTCATACAACTGTTTTCAGCGATTTTTTTTCGTTTTTTTTTTCCCCTTTTTTTTTTTCTTTTACTTTTTTTCTTTTACTCGATTTTTTTTTTTGCAACGAATTTTTTTGTACGATAACATTTTTATAACTTAGAAATAAATTTGGAGATAACTGAAATTAATTGCGAAATCCAGCGAAAGTCACCGATGAAATAAAAATAATTGTTTGTACGGAAAGTAAGGACCTACAGATATTAAATGGTCTTTAAATAAAGTGGCAGTGAAAGGTAAGCTTAAATATTAATATAATACTTAAATGCAGTGATCAATTTATTCTGTAGTTTATTGTTGCCTATAGCATACGGCAGCAGTACGCATCGCAAATAGAAATCTCCGCCAACAGAGGCTCAGATTGAAATAAAAAAAAAAAGCCAAGGCTGCAGCGATGAAAAGAAAGTCCTGTGCAAATGAAAACCAAGATCAAATGGCAGCCAGGAGAGCTTGAAATGCTGAGAATATGCAATGACTTAGGGACTATCAAACTCTTGAACAAGCCGAAAGCCCAACCATGAGCCCTCTGCAGGAACTAGCTTAAATACTAATTGATAGGACGCCTTTTAAGTTAGTATGCAATATAGATGAAAAAATTCAACTAAAAAAATTTTAAAATAAATACAATGTATCTAAATACAAATTAGAGATATGCCACACAGGTTGTTGGAAATATATAATTTCTGAAATGCCATATACAGGGTGTCCATAAAGTTCATGTGTACTTTAAAAAATTTATAACTTTATTTGTATTTGATAGAAATAATTTGTAAAAAAAAGATTAGAAAGAAGTAAATCTATATTTTTTAAGGTTTTACGAAAATTTGTTGAAGTTTCAACATGTCCTCCATCATTAGCAATACAAAGGGTTATACGATTTGCAGTTCACGAAAACATCTGCCAACTGATTTACAGTAATGCCTGAAATCACATTAATTATTTTAACTATACTTAAACTAGTACATTAAACTTGTAACATCTTTACAGATTATTTCTATCGTAAATACAAATAAAATTACAAATTTTTTAAAACCACAAGAACTTTATGGACACCTAATATTTTACAGGACTGTGGACACTCACAAGTCCTGCAAGATTAAAAGAACATGTAGTCCATTTCATTAGCCTTTGAATTTAGAACGATTTCTGGAGTTCCTTCCAACTTTTTCTTTTAGCAATGTTTTTGCCTTCATAGAAAACAGATTTTTTCTACTAAAATTGTTTGTTTTTTTCCTTCTGACATTGTGTCCTTCCGTCATTCCTTCATAAGGGTTTGTTTTTTCCTGGAGACAATAAAATTTGCCTTCACAGACCCTTTGTTTTTTCCCATTTATTATTTGTTTTGTTTTTTCCTTCATAGTAAAAGATTAATTGTTTTTTCCTTCCTCTGTTTGATATATTTGACATCATATATATATTTTATTTCGCAAGTTTGTTTTTCTTCATATAATTTAAGTAAATCCTTCATAAGGTTTTTTTGTTTTTTTTTAAATTAAAACAGTTTTTTTCCTTCATAGCCTGAATGTTTTTTTTCCTTTATAGAAAATATGCGCTTTCCTTCAAAGAATTTGTTTATATCTTATTGCATTATTATAAAATCAGAGTTTGTTTGACTTTTTTTAACTTCACTCTTCTGTGCTTCATAAATGGTTGTTTTTTCCTTCAGATCAAATGACGATTTCTTTGTTTTTTCAAAAATATATTAAATTTTCCTTATAAAGAAACAAGAAACAAAAAAAAAGTTTTTTTCAAAAAAAAACAAAAACAAAATTATTTATGAGTCCTTTGATCAAAACGCAGTTTTTCCGCTAGAAGTGTTTGAACTCATAGATAATATTTCGTTCTTTTGTTTTTGACTTCCTGGTGTGTTGTTATTTTTTCAGGATAAGGTTGGCTGTCTTAATTTTTTTATAATAGATAATAATTTTGATTTTTTATTCGGATCAATTGGAATAGTATATTTCTTTATAATATTTGCCTTTTCCTTCAGAAGATTCGTTTGTTTTTAATTAATATGCATTTGGTTTTTTTTAATAAATAATTACATTGGTTTCACAAATCACATGCTTATCCAGACGTTTACGTTACACCTATCTGATTCTTCCTCCATTAAAGTCCATTTAAACACACACAAATTCATACCAGACTCCATTAGGAACATACTAGTTCATAAGTAACGTTTCCATCAAAAGTCTAAAAATAATGGAAAGCTTTGTTTTTAAAAGAAAACGACCTAACCTCAAAGGTTTGTAACCGTTTTTCTTTCATAAAATTAAAAACATCCCTACCTTCATACTAAGATATACACAGAACGCACACACTCAATTGTTTGAAAATCGAATCATCCTTGATAATGAAGCAACGATATAGCCGAAAAGCGCTTCATTTGGACAGTTTCTTCACAAGTCCAGAAAAGAACACAAGAAAAATAAATAAAAAGCTTAACCGTAGTACCTTGTCTGTCGTTTTTAATGAAAAATATATATATATATATATATATATATATATAATATAAAATGTTTCATTCCTCTGATAAGTAGGTACCTCCTCGAGATCATTAAAAAGAGCATTAGTGTGATGAAAAGGACGCCAAACTTGACGAAAAGAAAATTTTACCGTCTAAATGTTTATGTTATTAATAGAGGAAAGACCAAAGTATTTTGGGTGTATTTTTTTTTTTTTTTACATTTTTTAATCGTTCCTAGCACGTACAAAATTTTCGTTAAAAATTTT